TTTTTCAAAAATTTGAAAAAACTTTTAAAAATCCTGAAAATTAATTCTGTACAAAACTTTTGTGGGAATAAGTTCCAAAAAAAGCTGCGATGAATAATTTGCAACTTGTACAGGTCTACCGCAAAATGCAAGCAAGCTATTATGAAGTAATTGGCGGCATCTGTAAGCATCGATTTATGGATTTTGCAGTGACCGCACCGCCATTTCCACCGCCGGAAGCTGGTCAATGTCATGTATCGAGCAAAAGCGGTCGTGAAATATGCTGGCCACGCTACGATGAACTGGACACGAGCTGTACCGATGTCGGCAGTGGCATGGTTTCGGCACCAGTTGTTAGACATGCCGCGTAAGTCACATTTATCATACATTTCTAATTAGTAATTATCTTGACCAACTGCTGTACCATTTCGGTGCCAATGCAGGAGCAGGCGTTCAAGCAAATTCAACGTTCTTTTAAAATTACGTAAGTACCACTCAGTAAGCCAGGTTACTGAATGGTACTTACGTAATTTTAAAACCTGTTATCTCTCATTTAGATCAGCTTACCTTTTTTTCTGACCAGTATTACCTTGATATCGCACCCGTTAACCATCCGTTGAATAAATCGTAGCAGTGCCCGCTTCTTCAGCTTTTTCTTTTACTGTTCTTTGCAAAGATCATTTTACAGAAATTTGAGTTTTTAAAGTATTTATTTCTATGCAACGTTTGTTATTGTAGAGTTCGAGCGATGGCATTTGTACCGCCGGACAATCTGCGTCGTCTGATCCGCCAGTACTATCGGCAGCAAGGCCGCCCGATACCGCGAAATACAACTTTTAGCAAGAATTCATTCCTTTTCGTGCGCTATGAATGTGACTACGGCTATGAATTTGTTGATGAAGTGAATACGATGTTTTGCATCAACAGGCAATGGGTTATAACACCACCAAAATGTCGCGGAAAAGGTTAACATCAAAACTTAATTCACTTTTATAAAAGACAAAAAAATTAAGAAAATTTATTAGCATTAAGGTAATGTGATGTGCCAGTATACCCGTAGCAAAACTGCGAATAGACAGTGTTAACTTGAAAGAAGTTCGGACTAGCTATCTCGGCCAGAAAACAAATATACGTTACAATCTTCAGCCAGAAATTGCATTGTCCGTTGATCCTTGCATAGATGACGCAGATGCGTCGAGCAGATAGTGGGTACTAACGGGTTATGTGTGGCCCAGGATCAAAGAATCTGGCATAGCTACGCACGGCGCTTGAGTGCATTCCAGTAACAACACGCTGATTGCCCGCATGATCACAGTAATCGTGACAATTTGTCTTAATGAATTTCGCGACTATTAGAGCCAAGTAATTCATTAAACTGTTTGATTTATTTCTTAAAATTTCCTACCAGTTTTTTAATGCGTTTTTGCTGTGCAGCGCTATGGTGCTGCTATAGCCAGCAAAAACGCATATTGTCGAGAGGCTGTCTGTATGTGTGTGTGTGTGTGTGT